ACACAGTTGTTATTAAAATGTATTGATGACATTAAGGATTGGATGGCTACAAATTTTTTTAAGTTTTAATGACAGAAAAACAGCCCTAGTTTTACTGCTGACACCTCTCCATTTAATGTTGGCTCTCTTCTGTTGTATTTGAAGCAGTCTGTTGTAAATCTGGAAATGATTTTAGATTCTGATTTGAAGTTTAACAAGCAGATCAATTCTGTTTTGCAGATAAGGTTTTTCAGCTAAGACAGATAGCCGAGCTCAAGCCAATAATATTTAGACCTGACCTTGAGAAAATAGTACATGCTTTTATTACTAGTCGATTAGATTATTGCAATGCACTTTATGTTGGGATCAGTCAGGTCTCCTTCACATCTTCAGCTTGTTCAGAATGCTGCAGCTCCACTTATAACAGGAACTCGTAGGTTTGAGCATGTTTCACCGGTTCTATCCTCCCTTCACTGGTTCCCAGTGCGCTATAGAATAGATTTTAAAATTCTCCTGCTCATGTAAAAATGCCAACATGGCCGTGCACCCTCTTATCTCTCTGATCTGCTTCAACCATACAGTCCTTCTCAGGCACTAAGATCTTCTGATCAGATGCTTTTAGTCGTTCCTAAAACCAGACTGAAACTGAGGGGAGATCGAGCTTTTTCAGTCGTGGCTCCCAAGCTTTGGATCAATCTACCCCCCAACGTTAGACAGGCCTCGTCACTTCCTGTTTTTAAATCTCTTTTAAAAACACACCTGTTTTCTCAGATCTTTGATTGATTGTGAGTTGTGTATTTGTTGTTGGTGTTTTATCTTTTATATTTTTAAGAATGTCATTTGTTTCTTAAATTGAATTTTGCCTCGTGTTCAGCACTTTGGTGACAACTTGTTTTTAAATGTGCTTTATGAATAAACTTGATGATGATGATGATGAATGGGCCTCTCATATGCTCTCTGTTTTCCTATTTTCTAATTGTCTCTCTATAGTCCAGCTGTGAAAGTGAGGCGGGTCAGTTCCTGACCTTCTCCGGGGCAGTCGTCCCGTCCTCTGATGTATAGGGTGTAGCCATGTTTCTTCTCCAGCTCCTCAGGCAGGATCTGCTGTGCAAACTTGGTTGTTCCACTCAGGCTCATGGTGTCTGACTGGATGATGCTCACATAGGCATCATAATACTTTCCATCTGAAACTGCTGGAACACAGAAACAGTGTTTGAGATTATTCTATAATCTGCTTGTTCTTCACCTGAAGAACCAACACCCATGTCCAAATTAATTCTAACTTTGTTGTGACTACTAGAGATGTGATGTTCGTAAATGATCTGAATCTTTTCAACGGCTCCTAACAGTGAGTGACAGGAACCAGGCTGTGGATAGTAAAGAACCATTCGTAGTACAGCAACTCAGGGGGAAAGGGGAGAGGGCTTCGGATTGACCAAACACATGGTTCCACCCACTTRACACGATGATGTCATCACATATGCTGCATGTGACATTTATCCCTAGGTGATGATGTAATTTGTTCAAAATCAAACAACTCTTTTGAAAGGCTGAAACAAATGGTTTGTCAAGATCTAGATCTTTTCAAAGGGTCATTCATCTCATCTCTGGTTGTGACTGTGCAGTAAAAAGAAGTTGCTGAAAGGGACTAGACTATAACTCACCTTGTGGTTTGGAAAAATGTCTGGTCAGCTTCCTGTATGACAGAATCAGGGTGATTTTACAGAAGAAGGAGGAGGCGACGAGAAGCAGAATGAAGATGCAGGAAAGGCAGAGAGTGACGGTCACATAGAAGTCGGTTTTGTCGGCTGAGGAAACAATCAAATCTCAGTAAACACGCTGTGAAACTTCTTTTTAAATCCCTGTTGTTTTGTATGAAACATGCTTTTACCTTCTGTCAGCCAGGCCAAACCAAACTTCTTTTCAACTGGGCTAAAGATGTTGCATTGAATGGGGATGTTCAGGAACTGATGCAGAACTTTAGAGATGTACAGAGTGGACTGACCGTACACCTTCCCCCTGTTGGTAATGCTATAAGAAAAAAGCTCCATCAATCATTCAGACAATTGAGGAAGAATAATAAGAAAATCTGTTAACATTTGTTTTATTAGCCTACTGGACTTAGTCCTTACTGGACTTACTTCTTCTGAAAAATGGGGTTCTTTTTTTTCTGCTTGACCTTCAGAGGGGAACGTGGCTGTCTGGGTGTAACGGTTGCTGCTTGACTTGTCTGATTCCTGGGGCTGGAATCTGATACGCCAGAACCACTTTCCATCAAAGACATGGAAGATTTATATACAGTATATATTTAGATTATGATAACTGGATTCCTGCTGATCAGCAGAGGAGGGTTCCAGATTTATTGAAAAGTGAAAGCGACCCTGACAGTGGCTCAGGCCATTGAGGAGCTGTCAGGCACACTGGAAGGATTCTGCCAGGCTGGTAGCACACAGACTCTCAGCTGGCAGGAATAATTTACAAACTGGATGTGATTCTGATGAGGATCATAACCCAGGAGCGAGCCTCCAGCATGTAAGGAATACATCTGGGTGACGCTTCAGATGGTGAGAGGCGAGGTAGACTCCAAATTTAGCTGATTGTTTTTTTTCACCACTTCAGAGATTTAGTTAAGACATTTAAAAAGCAGCAGGAAATTCAAGGCTGCTTTGTTCCAAAACAAATTGGATTATCTATCTGGCTCCCAGCAGTACAGCAGTGTTTATCTCAATGTCCCCAGGACAGAATGTCAACAAAGAGCTGGATTCGCTCCCACCTCCATCACCCATGTTGGACCCGGCCTCGGAACTCAACTGGCTGAGGAGGAGGAAACTCTGAACTCTAGCAAACTCAGCAGAGACGATAACATCATGTGACTCTGGACTCTGGGTCCTAGCACCGACCCCCCTCCCTCAACGTCACCTACTCCTCTGAACCAGCCCCATCTTACCTCCCCCTTATGTATCGTTTGACCCCCAGCCCCCTCCCTTCCTTAGCTGCATTGCAATGACGTGAGTGGGGTTTTTTTTGCGTGTATAATTCTGTTTCTTTGTAAAACCCAGGATC